ATGAGTTGTTAGAAAAATTAGAAGCACTAAATTAAATTATGAAAAGGTATCATGTATTTATAAAATATTCAAAAGTAAAAAACAATTATTCTAACCTATTATTAATCTATTATTATTGAATATTTCACAAATACATATCTTTTCATAATTTAATTTAGTGCTTCTAATTTTTCTAAAATGTAATAAATCATTGTTTCGTAACATTAATGTTACATATTTTACGAAACTATGTTACATGATACTGTTAACTCTTACACATATACTATCCGCTATACTACCCTAACTCTACTCGATTTATCGGACAGCATTGAGTTGTCATAAATCATGAAAATACTAGATGCTTGTGCCTATCATATTTTTCGGCCCTAGTGAAACTAACTCGTACTTACTCCAACTCGAATTATCGTAAACAGCCACAATGACAGACGGGCAGATAAGCGAGCGCGAGCGAGATGGCGAAGCAAGTAATGGAGGACGGCGAGTGGACGATCGTGTTCGAAGTTCGCGCTCGGCTGTAGAGATGGAACATCGAACAGAAATAATCGATTATAAGCTACAATCAGTATCGGTATCGTCCATCTCTAATCGCAACATTTCTAGGATATCCCTATGATGTATTTTGAACATTTCTGTTGTGTAGGAACTGTAATATTATTCCGATTTTAATGAAACTCAGGAAACAATATTTATGTTTTAAAAGGACTATTTCGCGATTCTGTGTATCCACTATTTTCCTCAAGATAAATACTAGAAAAAGCACATGCGCAACATACCGTTGGGGGCATACAGTCCTGGTCTCCCCTATCAAAAAGTTAAACAGCCGCGTAGTTTACACGGCTGAAGAAAATTTGAAGAAACAGATACGAATTCACAAAGAGACACCTAAGATTACATAATTGACTCGTACGAAGCATTTATTCGTGGATCTTTTCGGAAGACTCGACCTGACCGTCATCATCTTTATCCGCGTCGTGCGCGGTTTCTTCCGGACCATTCGCAACCTCGTCATCGCGCCGAGCCTCCGAGCTGCTTTGCATGTTGATCATTAGGCTCTGCCTGCACAACGTCGAGATCGTGCTCATGTTGCCGCCGTCGACGTTCTTGGCGCGGATCAGGCGTGAGAGTTTCAGCTTGCTGACGATCTTCGCCAACGGGCCGGACGCGTCGCGGCGCTTCGCGATCGTCCTCGGCAAGGACTCGCATCCGCGATCGACCGCGACCAGCCGGCCGAACGTGTCGGGGTCCACGTTGATCATACCAGCGCTGGCGGACTTCACCAGGTCCGCTCGCACACCGACGTCGAGGTCCTCTTGATGCGCGCAGCTTTGGTCTTCGCTCGAACTGGAGCTTTCGTCGTGCGGGACCGCCGCTTCCATCGCACTTCTCGCGCCTTCCTCAGACTCCGTGGTGGACGCCGCGGCTTCACTCGGTCTCGAGACCTGACTGGACGTGGACATTCGTCTCCAGGGATCGTTCTCGCGACTGCCCGCTTCCGGCGGCTCCATCATCGAGCGGCAGAAGGGACCGCCTCGGCGCGACAGGAAACTCTCCTTGGCACGCCGTATCCTGGAGGAGCGCGATTCCGAGCTGCTGACCGCGAAGCTCTCCGCAGCAGCAGTCACTCGTCCTTCCCTTCTCGCCGCGGCGTCTGAGAGTATTCTGAGTTTGTGCATCAAGTCCGACGGCACCGCGTCGCCCTTCGCGTGATTCTCGTCCTGCTGCTGCCTCAGCTCGTCCTGCCTTCGACTGCACTTCACCTCGTCCGGTTTCTCTTCGCTCTGCCTTTCGCCGCACCTGTCCGCATTGTGCTCCTCTTCGTTCTGTGCTCGACTACACTTGACTTGGTCCTGCTCTCCTTCGTCCTGCGTTCGACCACGCTTGCCCTCGTCCTGCATTCGACTCGTACTCTGTTCCTGCCCGACCATAACGACTCTTGACCGGTCTGCTTGCTCCAAAACGCACGGAGAGGACGTTCCCACCGAAGTCCTCGTGTTTACCAACGCGGCGCTAGGCTTTGTGACTGCGTGATGAGTCTGTGGTTGATTTATCTCAGTGGACAACGGTTCTTCGTTAGTCACTTGATCGTTGGGCTTTTTATCATCCGTGTTTCTCTGCTCGTCGCTAATGAACTTGCTGCAACGAGAGTCCCTTCTCTGTACCGTTACTACGTCTTCCGCCTTGCCGCTTGAACTTCTCCTGGACTCAGTTCCGGAGGCAACCTCGCTCTCTTTCGAGGTGGAGCGCAGCGGCCATGGCAAAGACAACGATACGCGCAGCAGAGCGTCTTGCCGGCACAGCTTCGGTGAAGATGACCTCGATTTACTCTTGGACTTGGAACGCAGAAGTCGCTCGTCCACGGAGCCGTCGCTCTCCTTCCTCGAGAAAGGGCGATCCTCTGATCGGCGGAACGGTCCGAAGATCATGCGCTTCGTCCTCACGAAGACATTTCTGGAGGAAGATCCATCCTTCTTGGTGCACACGACTTGGTGATCCTCGGCCATTCTCACCGTTGCGTGGTCGCCGTCATGCCGATGATCGCTGACCGCTGTGCTTTCTTCCAGATGATCAGCGTTCGCGAAACGATCCCGAGGTCTCCCCGCGCTCTTCGTGCCGCTCTCCGCGCTCGTAGGAACGATTATTTTGTTCAATGTTTCTTCATTGATCAGAATCCTCTCGAGACAGCGCGCTTCGTTATCTCTAGAGACGGTTATCGGGATGGTCCGAATTGTCGAATCGATCAAGAGATTCGTCGGAATTTCCGAGAGGTCTGATTTCTCCACGCCAGGTAATCTTGATGACGAGAGCTTTACTCTCGTATTTTGATTACTGCGAGGAGGACTGCGATTCTCGTGACAGCCAATTGGTTCGTATAAAAAGCGGTTATCAACCGTATCGTCGCACGTGTCCGTCTTAAACGTGAGAATCTCGTAATGTCGGTCGACGTCGCTTTGCAGCTCGGATAAACTGTAATTCTCGTAACGTACCGATGTCTCGTTTCCGGTATCAGCGCCGTGACATTTCAAAGAGCCATTGTCATCGTCTGCGAAAATAAAATATAGAGCCGTATTAATAGTCGTTATTTAGTCTCACGTGAGACACTTGGAGTTTTCAGAATCAGACTCGGGTTTTTCAATTGGATTATATGTTATTTGTAACATTATATCTGTAATTGCAGCTCAACTTTATTTTTAATTATCATTTTAAACAGAAAAACTTTCATCTAACTCTGTACTTAAATCTGAGTATCTCATTTAAGAAAAGTTTCAAGTAACGACTAAATATTGATACAAACCATAATAATATTATTCTTTTGAAGTTATATACATATATACATATATACATACATATATATATATATATATATATATATATATATATATA